TGGTGAATGAAACTCATCTGTCAGCTGGAGCAGCTGAAAGTGTTTTTACTGTGGCTGATTATGAACACACTGTCACTCCAAACACACTCGTCGATGCTTTTATATCAGCCTTCTAGCACTAGCAGCTGAAAATGAGCCTGTACAACTCTCTCCCAAACTGCAGGGGGCGCTGTGCTGTGGCAGGTTTGTCTCCTCACCATAGGTGTAAACTGGTCCCTGCTGGTCCGGCTGGAAGGGGGTGGTCTTCAGGACCTGAGGGATGGACAGCTCAGTCAGAGCGGGGTCGGGCGAGGGACACAGTCTGGGCGTGGCGTCCGAACCGGGTAGCAGCACCAGCTGCCGCAGTAAACCCTGAAGAAGAAACAGAGCGGTGAAAACCAGCAGGACGGACAGTTGGCTGATCTGACCCTGATCAGAGACTCACGGAGAAGCGCCCCCTCCACCGCCCCCTGCTGCCGACGAAGAACCGGGACCCTCTGGTGCTCAGATGGCTGGGGAAGGGCTGGACCTGTTTACTGGGGGACAAGAAACCACTTAATCCCATGAAGTGGATCTCTACTGGTCTCTATTGGTCTATGTGGTGTCAGCTCTCACAGCTCCAGAGGAAGTCCACAGTCGACAGTCAGCGTGGCGTACGGCCCGGTGACAGCCAGCACCACTGTGTGCCAGCGGTTATTGTCCAATCCAACGTCCTTAAAAGTCATTCGGCTCCGCCCACCAGGGCCAGGGGATGTGGTCAAGAAGTGGAGGCGGTTCTTAGACACTCGTAACCCCAGCAACAGCGAATCAGATCCCTCCCTCACCACAGAGAAGATGTACTCATTTGTCTGGAAGCAGAGAGAGAAAAAACACATTGGACTGGAACAAACTGGACCAGACTGGGCTGAACTGGGCCAGACTCATCCAAACTGGACCAGACTGGACCAGATCCAGCTCCATCCATCACCTTCTGTCTCAGTGTCTGAATCTTCACCGTGGCAACCAATGAGAACTCAGAGGGAAAGTAGTAACAGTTGGTGAAGATCTGGGAGGCGGGGAAATTCAGAGGTGCTGCCACGGCGCTGGCCAATCGGAGACCTCTGGAACCTTTGGACTGAACCATCCGCACCTGGAGGGGTAGTGGATGAAATATTAGGGGTAGCTACCATCATAAATGTTCATACCTTCATGCTATCCTGTGTCTTACCTGAGTGGGCGTGGCATGTCCTGGGGGGGGCAGGGCTTTGGACAA